CATATCTCGGTTCACCTCGTCGAGCAGCAGGTTGGACGGCTTGAGGTCGCGGTGGATGAGGTCGCCGCTGTGGCAGTAGAGGAGGGCCTTGAGGCACTGGTAGATGATGAACTGCTTGTGCACCGGCTCCAGGATGTTTGCGCGGATCACCGCGTGCAGGTCCGTGTCCATGTGGTCAAACACGAGGTAGATGTCGCGGTCGTTTTCCGCCTTTAGCACATTCTGCAGCCGGATGATGTTCTCGTGCCCGTTCATCGCCTGGAGGTACATGATCTCGCGGAAGGTGCGCTGCGCGTCGGTCGAGTTCTGGAACGCGTCGAAGATCTTCTTGAGCGCGACGGTCCCTTTGGTCTTCCGGTCGGTGGCGCGGAAGACCACCGCATACGCGCCCTTGCCAAGCTTGGCCTCCACGTCGTACTTGCGGAGCACGTGCCGGTCGACCTCCTCGTCTTGCATTTCGCCCGGCTTCTGCAAACTCGAGCCTGAAGGCCCGGATCGGGGCGGAGGAGAGTCTCTGACTCGCAGTGCCCGCGCGAATCAAAGCCGGCGGCGAAGCGAGAAGGAGAAACCCTTTGAAATAAAAAGAAATGTCCGCCACTGTGGCGCCGTCCTCCCATTTCCGTGTAGTCATCGCCGAAAGCCCTCGTGTCGCCCCAGCTCACGCCACCATGGCCGAGGCGGACCTCGCTGAGCTCGAGGGGCTCATCTCCGAGTGCAAGCGTCCGCGGGTCAAGGCCCAACTCGAGGCGTACGCGGGCCAGCTGCGGGAGCTGATCGGCGGCGCCACGGCGCCGGCCAAGCCCGCCGCCGCCTCCGCCGCCACCGCCTCCGCCGCCTCCGCCTCCGCCGCCGCCGCGACCGCCGCCGCCGCCGCCGCTTCAACCGCGCCGCCCGCCGCGGCGCCGTCGCCGCCGCCGCCTGCCCCAGCGCCCGTGCCGCTCAGCACCGAGGCGGCTGCCGCTCCGCCGAGCGTGCCGTACAGCTCCATCACCTCGTTTGCGTGGGACCAGGACGACTACGGCAAGGACCCGGCGAACGTGTACGTGCACCTGCTCTCCGGGTTCGAGGGCATCGGCGAGGCCAAGGAGAGCGTGCAGTGCGACTTTGGCAAGCGGTCGTTTGACCTGCGCGTGCTCGGTTACAAGGGCAAGAACTGGCGCCTGCGCAAGGACGGTCTCGACAAGGAGATCGACCCGGCGGGAAGCAGGGTCAAGGTGGGCAAGAACAAGATCACGGTCGTGCTGCGCAAGGTCAAGGGCCAGTACGGGGCCGACCACTGGATGGACCTCGTGGCCAAGCGGACCACCGGCGGCGCCACTCAAGACGACCCCTCCGCCGGCCTGATGGACATGATGAAGCAGATGTACGACGAGGGCGACGATAACATGAAGAAGACGCTGGGCGAGGCGATGCTCAAGTCGCGCCAGGAGCAGATGCGCGGCGGCAAGCTCGGGGACGACCTGTGACGGAGGCAGTGCGTGTGCGCGCGCGTGAGCGGTCGGCGGCGTGCGTCCGAGCCGCCGAATGCGTTACTTTCCGGCGATCCCTGTAGGATGACTGCTTTCGCTGGCGCCACGACGTCGGAGTTTTTTGTTGTGTTTTAGGCTAGAGAGGAGAGCTCGAGGCACGCAGTTCCTGGGCGCCTGGCCAAGGTAAGGTAAGGTAAGGTAAACGTCTCCACACACACAAAGTGGTAGGGCAAGGGGGGGCGACCCTCGCATCTCCACGCCCGGGACACGGGCAGGAGCCCCACGGCATTCAAAGTGCAAGCACCGGCCCGGTGCCGTGGGTGAGCAACCTGCACCCCACTCCCTCCCTCCCAGACACAACCCGCAACCCGCGCCTGGCCAATTCTAGGTACTAGGAGCTCGAAGAAAACGAAAAAAGAAATCGCGCGACTTCCGCGTCAAATGCCAGGAAGACGCGAGGAGCCCTTGCCATGCTCAGCATCCTGTTGCTCTGCACATTCGCGGTCAGCACGACCGCCACCGCCACCAAACCCGCTTCGCCCGTGGAAAACACCTTTTGTGGGAGGCTGCCAGCAGTTTGCAACGGCACGTATGCGGAGCGGACACTCGAGTTTGTTGACGATCAAGCACTGACAGGCACTCTTCCGCCCGAGCTTGGCAACCTCGACTTGATGAGTATCAACGTGATCAATACCAACGTCTCCGGTACCATTCCCATGGAGCTCAGCCACATATCAGAGCTGACCAATCTCTCGATTACAGGGTATGCGGTTCGGAGCAGGCTCTCTGGCACGATTCCGGCAGGGCTCGGCAATCTCTCGAGGCTGGCCATGCTCGAGCTCTGGAGTAACAGGCTCTCTGGCACCATTCCCGAAGCGATCAGCGATTTCTCAGAGCTGGAAAGCCTCGACCTATACAACAACAACATTTCTGGCACCATCCCAGCAGAGCTCGGCAATCTCTCGAGGCTGTCCAGCCTCTCCCTCGCTGGCAACAATCTCTCTGGCACCATTCCCGAAGCGCTCAGCAAACTGGCGTTGACAAAGCTCGACCTCTGGGGTAACAGGATCTCTGGCACCATTCCCGAAGCGATCAGCCATTTCTCAGAGCTGGAAAGCCTCACCCTCGGCAATAACAGTCTGTCGGGTACGATCCCGTCGGACCTCAGTGCGTTGTCACACCTCAGCTTTTTAATCCTGGACTACAACAACATTTCCGGCACTCTGCCCGTTCTCGACAAGCTCTCGCGGCTGGATACCTTGCAGCAAATTGTGCTGCAGACGAGATATTTTATGGATTTGGAGTGACAGTATGGATTCCGGGTGACACAGGTTGGGAGAGGGAGAGGGTGAGAGGAGAGAAGTAAGCCTCAGTAAGGGGAAGAGGGAGAGTAAGAGGGAGAGGGAGAGGGAGAGGGAGAGGTGGGAGGGAGTCAGAGGTAGAGGGAGAGGGAGAGTAACAGGGCGAGGTAGAGGAGAGTGAGTAGCGGAGAGGGAGAGGGAGAGGGAGAGTGAGGAGCGGAGAGGGAGAGGGAGAGGAGAGAGTGGGAGGAGAAACAGTAAGAGGCAAAGGAGAGACTGATAAGGAGAGTAGAGTAAGAGGGAGAGGGAGGGAGGGAGCGTAGCAGACTAAGAGGGAGGCCATAGAGGGAAACTAGAGACGCAAAGAGGGAGCACGGCGGAGTGTTGATGACTGCGCCGCGCGCATGGAGTACTCGAGTAGGCTGATCACACGTGGGTCTCGAGCCCTCGTGGCATCCATCAGCGCGGTGTCGCCGTCCCTGTCCCGCAGGTCGATGCTCGCGCCGCGATCCAGCAGCAGCTCGACCTTGGCCAAACGGGCGAGACGGGGCCTACGGCGTACGTCAGCGCGGTGCGCGGCTTGCGTTTTTCTTCTGACAGTACCGTGGCCGCGAGTAGAGCAGAGCACGCGAGAAGAATGGAGGGCGGCGGCGAGCGCGGGCGTGGCGGGTTCGGTCGCGGCTTCGGCGACAGGGGCGGCAAGGGTGACGGCAAGGGCAAGGGCAAGGGCAAGGGCAAGGGTAAGGGCAAGGGCGGCGGGCGCGGCGGCGACGACAAGGAGTGGGTTCCGGCGACGAAGCTTGGCCGCCTCGTGAAGGCACGCGCCACCGCTTCCGACGCACACGCACGTCGCCCGCGCGGTGCCCGTCTGTGCGTTCCCGGCCGCTCGCTCCGCCCCGCGCCCTCCGCGCCGCCTCGCCCCACCCCGCCGCTGCCCTCTCTGCCGCCCGCAGGACGGAAAGATCAAGTCTCTCGAGCAGATCTACCTCTTTTCGCTGCCGATCAAGGAGCACCAGATTGCGGACTTCTTCCTGAAGGACAAGCTGAAGGACGAGGTCATGCAGATCGCCTCGGTCCAGAAGCAAACCTCGGCTGGCCAGCGCACGCGATTCGTCTGCTATGTCGCCGTCGGCGACTGTGAGCGCCGCGCCCGCCGCCGGCCGCTCCCCCGCCGTCGGAAGCCCCCCCCCCCCCCCTTTTCTGCAGATGGCTGGCGTGCAGGACTGCTACCCCCCCGCTCCCGGGGCCCCCCCCCGACCCAGGGCTAACTTCCCAAAGGGCCCCCTTTCAAGCCCTCCGCGAAAAAATTACGGGGGTTCCTCCCACCCCACCCTGTGGA